ATTACTATACACAGCAAAGCTTTCAATCACCATAGATTGAGAAAATGAAATATTCCATGACAAAAGCAGATTTAAACAAATCCACAAATCCAGCCCCACAGAAAGAACTAAAAGGAAAACTCCAACTCAAAAAGGTTTGCTACACCCATGAAAACACAAGCAATAAATAACCAAAGAAGGGAAGCATACAAACACTACCACAGCCAACAACAAACCCAGATATAACAGGAATTAACAACCACTGGTCATTAATATCTCTTTAATATCAATAGTCTTGATTCACCTATAAATAGTCTTGATTCACCTATAAAAAGATATAGGCTAAGAGAATGGAAACAAAAACAGAACCCATCCTTCTGCTTCATACAAAAACACACCTCAACCTCAAGATAGACATTGCCTCAGAATAAAAGGTTGGGAAACAATCAAGGTTAGCTATCCTAATATCTAACAAATAGTCTTCAAACTAAAATTAATAAAAAGACATGGAGAAAGACATTTCATATTCATCACAGGGAAAATCCACTGAGATAAAGTCTCAATTCTAAACATCTATGCACTAAATACAAGGGCACCCACATGTGTAACAGAAACAATACTAAAGCTTAAATCATACATCAAAACCCAAATACTAATAGTGGGGGACTTCAGCACCCCACTTTCATCACTGGACATGTCTGGCAGTCAGAAACTTAACAGAAATAATGGAACTAACAGATGTTATAACTCAAATGGATTAAACAAACATCTACAGAACATTCCACCCAAACACAAAAGAATATACCTTCTTCTCTGCACCTTATGGAACTTTTTCTAAAATTGACCATATACTTGGCAACAAAACAAACCTCAACAGATAACAAAAACATGGAATAACCCCCTGTATCTTTTCACATCACCATGGCTTTAAGCTAGAATTCAACAACAACACTAATCACAGGAAGCCTACAAACTCATGGAAATTGAACAATGCTCAACTCTCATCACTGTGTCAGGGAAGAATTAAAGAAAGAAATTAAATGCTTCCCAGAATTCAACAAAAATGAAAGCACAATATACCCAAACTTATGGGATACTATGTAAGCAGTGCTAAGAGCAAAGTTCATAGCACTAAGTGCCTACATAAAGAACATGGAGAATCTCACACTAGTGACTTAACACCACACCCAGAAGCTCTACAATGAAAAGAAGCAAAATCACCCAGGAGGAGTCCACAGGGATGAAATCAATAAATTAGAAACAAAGAGAACAGTACAAAGAATCAATGAAACAAAGAGCTGATTCTCCAAGAAAAACAACAAGATAGACAAATCCTTATCAAAATAACCAAAATGAAGAGAGAGAATATCCAAATTAACCAAATCAGAAATGAAAATGGAGACATAACAACAGACACTGAGAAAATCCAGAGAATCACCAGGTCATACTTTGAAAATCTGTTTTCCACAAAATTCAAAAATTTAAAAGAAATGGATGATTTTCTGGATAGGTACCCCATACCAAAATTAAATCAAGAACAGATAAACAATTTAAATAAACCTACACCCCCCAATGAAATAGAAACAGTCATCAAAAATTTCCCAACATAAAAGAGCCCAGAACCAGATGGTTTTAGTGCAGAATTCTACCAGAATTTCAAAGAAGAACTAATACCAATACTCCTCAAATTATTTCACACAACAGACACAGAAGGGATATCACCAAAAATCTTTACCCAAACCACACAGGTATGCAATTAAGAAAGAGAATTACAGACCAATCTCTTTGATAAACACTGACACAAAAATATTGGCAAAATAAATCCAAGAACACATAAAAAAATCATCCAACATGATTAAGTAGGCTTCATGCCACAGATGCAGGAATAGTTCAAAATATGAAAATCTGTCAATGTAATGCACCATATAAACAAAGGTTTAAAAGGTTTTTTACTGAAAGGTAAAAGCTGCATGATCATCTAATTAGATGCTGAAAATTCTTTGACAAAATCCAACATCCCTTCATTATAAAGGTCTTGGAGAGTTCAGGGATACAAGGAACATATCTAAACATAATAAAAGCAATATACAGCAAACCAACAGCCAACTTCAAAATAAATGGAGAGAAACTCAAAGTTATGACACTAAAATCAGGCACAAGACAAGGTTTCCACTCTCTCCATATATATTCAATATAGTACTCAAAGTTCTAGCTAGAGCAATGAGACAACAAAAGGACATCAAGGGGATACAAATTGGAGGGGAAAAGTCAAACTTTCACTATTTGCATATGATATGATAATATACATAAGTGACCCAAAAATTTCTACCAGGGAACTCCTACAGCTGATAAACACCTTCAGCAATGTGGCAGGATACAAGATTAACTCAAAAAAATCAATAGCTCTACTATTTACAGATGATAAAAGGGCTCAGAAAGAAATCATAGAAACATTACTTCAAGCTCAACTAAAGAGCTGTAGAAAAAAAAAAACAGCTTGGTATTATCATAAAAACTGACATGTGGATTAATGGATTCAAACTGAAGACCCTGATAGTAACCCAGATACCTATGAACACCAGATTTTTGACAAAGAAGCCAAAATTGTGCAATGGAAAAGAGAAAGCATGTCCAACAAATAGTGCTGGCATAACTGGATGTCAACATGTAGAAGAATGCAAACAGATCCATATCTATCCCCATGCAAAAAACTCAAGTCCAAGTGGTTCAAGGACATCTACATAAATCCAGCCACACTGAGCCTGATAGAAGAGAAATTGGTAAGCAACCTTGAATGCATGGACACAGGAGACCACCTCCTAAATATAACACCAGAAGCACAGACACTGAGAGCAGCAATAAATAAATGGGACCTCCTGGAATTGAGATGTTTTTGTAAGGCCAAGAATATGGTCAAAAAGACAAAACTGCAGCCTACAGAATGGGAAAAGATTGTCACCAACCCCACATCTGACAAAGGGTTGACCTCCAAAATGTATGAAGAACTCAAGAAACCAAACAACCCAATTTTAAAATGGGGTACAGATCTGAAAGAGAATTCTCAACAAAAGAAACTCAAATGACTGAAAGACATTTAAGTAATTGCTCAGCATCCTTAGCCATCAGAGAAATGCAAATCAAAACGACCCCTGACATACCATCTTACACCTATCAGAAAAGCTAAAATAAAAAACACTGATGACAGCTTATGCTAGAGATGTGTGGAGTAAGGGGGAAACTCCCCCATTGAGGGTGCTAGTGCAAACTCATACAGCCACTTGGGAAATCAACATGGCAGTTTAGCAGAAAATTGGGTATCAATCCACCTCAAGACCCAACAATACAACTCTTGGCCATATACCCAAAGGATGCACAATCATATCACAAGGATGTTTGCTCAACAATGTTCATAGCAGCCTTATTTATAAAAGACAGAACCTGGAAACAACTTAGATGTCAATCAATGGAAGAATGGATAAAGAATATGTGGTACATTTACACAAATTGGAGTATTACTCAGTGGTAAAAAATAAAAAAAAAATGGTATCTCAAAAGATACCAGCAAATGGATGGAACTAGAAGAAACCATCCCGAGTGAGGTAACCCAAACCCAAAAAGAAAAACACAGTATGTACTCATAAGTGGATATTAGACCTGAAGCAAAGGATAACAGGCTACAATTCACAACCCCAAAGGAGCTAAGTAACAAAGGGGAACCCTAAATGGGACACACATGGAGGGTAATCTGGGAGTGTGGTGAAGGGAAGGGATAGAGGATGGGAACATGAGGGACCAAGAAGGCAGAGTTGAGGGAAGGATAGAGGGGGAGAGCAATGTAAGATAGAGGGGACCATTAAGGGGTGATCAAGAAACAAACGTGGTGCTAGAGAAATTCCAAGGAATTCACAAAGATGACCCCAGCTAAGACTACTAGCAGTAGAGGAAAGGGTGTCTTAACTGGTCTTTCCCTTTAATCAGATTAGTGACTACCCTAATTGTCCTTGTAGAACCTATATCCAGTACCTGATGGAAGCAGATGCAATGACTCACAGTCAAGCTCCTGGAGTTCCGCTGAGGAGAGGAAGAGGGATCATATTAAAAAGGGGATGTCAGTATCATGATGGGGAAAACCAGAGACAGCTGACCCAAGCTAGTGGGAGCTCACGGACTATGACTGATAGCTGGGGAATCTACAGGGGACTGAACTAAGTCCCCTGAATGTGGGTGACAGTTATATGGCTTAATCTTTTGGGGAGTGTCCTGGCAATGGGACCAGGACCTATCCCAGGTGCATGAACTGTCTTTTTTGAGCCCATTAACTATGGTGGAGTACCTTGCTCAGCCTTGACACAGGTATACCAGACTTTGTTGACTCCCCAAGGGAGGCCTTACTCCCTCTGAGAAGTGGATGGGAACAGGAAGGGGAAAGGTGGGGGGGGCACAGGAAAAGGGGAGGGAGAACTGGGGTTAATATGTAAATGGAAAAAAATTAAATAAAAAGTGATAAAATTTAAAAATAAAATTAAATATAAAAGAATGTAGATAAAAAATATGCATTAACTTAAGTTATAAAAGCTAGTAAGAAACAAGCCTGAGCTATCACCTGATCTTCCAGTTAATAATATGTCTCCATGTTATACTTGGGGAGCTGGTAAGCCGACAAAAATGTCCAACTACAGTTCATTAATCCTTCTTAATTTCCCAGCATCAGCTGCCAAGGGGGTGCCATCCACAGTGGGCTGGGACCTCCCACATCAATACTCAATACAGAAAATGCCCCATAGGCATCCCCCTAGTCCAATCTGATGGAGGCAGTTCCTCAAATATGGTTTTCTCCTCCAGAAGGACTATAACCTGATCTAGTTGACCAAAGCAGAAAGCACAAATACATGAGAACTAGTTAACATCACAACATAACTAATGCTGCAACATAGAGAACATGGTGCTAAGCACAAAGACATCTACAATCTCTTACAACTCACTCTCTCTTCTTTCTTTCAGAGCTCTTTTTCAACACAGCCATGGGTCAGTTATTCTCTGATATAACTAAGGATGAAGGCCTTGGAGATTTGGAGTCCAGCTTCACTGCATATTTTAAGAAGATTAAGAGAGAAAACACAATCATTTCTCAGGAAACTGCCCGTTTAATAGAATTTCATCTGAAAAAAGGAAACATTCTTGGGGCAAACTCTGTAATCAGTGATGAATTAAAAAATATTGATAGTGCCACAATAAATGTTGCTGTGACTGGAGAGTCTGGTGGAGGGAAGTCCAGCTTCATCAATGCCCTGAGGGGTCTTAGACCAGAAGACAAAGGTGCAGCTGAAGTTGGGGTAGTAGAGACAACCATGAAGATAACTTCATACAAACACCCCAAAATTAAGACTTTAACTTTGTGGGACCTGCCTGGCATTGGAACTATGAAATTTCCACCAAAAGATTATCTGGAGAAAGTAGAATTCCAAAAGTATGACTTCTTCATTATTGTTTCTGCCACGCGTTTTACAAAACTTGAACTAGACCTTTCCAAAGCAATCAGATTCATGAAAAAGAATTATTACTTTGTGAGAACCAAGGTGGACATGGATATAGACAATGAAAAGAAAACAAAACCACGTACATTTAACAGAAAAAGGATACTGGAGAATATCCGAAGCTATTGTGTGGACACATTTAGGGAGAATAACATAGATTCACCACAGATTTTCTTGATTTCTAGCTATTCTTTATCTGACTATGATTTCCCAGTCCTCATGGACACCCTGATAAAGGAACTTCCTACTCAGAAGCGCCACAGTTTTAGGCTTTCCATGTCTAATATTACAGAGGCAGCAATTGATGGAAAGCACGAGTCTATGCAGCAGACTATCTGGTTGGAGGCCTTCAAGACTGGACTTTTGGCAAATGCTCCAGCAGTGGGAATCCTCAAGGATGATATGAAACACCTGAAGGCAAGTTTAAACCGCTATCGAGTCCTCTTCGGAGTGGATGATGAATCCCTGGGATACATGGCAAAGGATTCCAAAGTGTCTGTTGAACAACTGAAAAAAATCATTAAATCTCCTTGTTTGCTGGAAACTAAGAAAGAAGAGACATTTGGAGAAACATTTTTGAAATATTTGGAAAAATTTGCCTCAGTTAATGGTGGGGTCCTTGCTACAGGACTTTACTTTAGGAAAACCTTTTACTTCCATCATATCTTTCTTGACACTGTGGCTGAAGATGCCAAAATCCTCCTTAGAAAGACATATTCAAAAAATTAGTTCAAACTCACTTCAGACATAGCTACTGAACATGAACATCAAAGGGTTAATGCCAGGAATCAGTAGATAAATTTCCCCCTCTGTATATTTTCTTAATACTAGCCAATGCACCTCCACCGTGGGAAAACCTAAATATCAGGAATCATGATTCTTAATATGTCAAAGTCAGACAACCCAAATCCCTCTTCACCACTCTGCCTCCCTCTCTTTCTTTCCACCCTACCTGCACACTTTAACACACACACACATATGAATGAACACATGCTCATGTATGACACCCAGACATGAGCAAGCACACACACAAAAGATATCAATAAGGTTTTCTATCAATTTCCCCCTAATGAAAACATTCTAATGAAAACTCAGGAAGTAGGAGGTACTTGCCATGCATATGTGAGGACCAGAGTTCACTTTCTAGAACCATCATAAATGCTGTGTGGGTGTAGCAGCCACCTTGTACTTCCACACTCAGAAGTAGAAACAGTGGAAGAATGGAGCAAGCTGGATTCCTAGACTGAAGATCTGCAAGCTTGGGATGCAGTGAGAGAACTTGGCTTGGTGAAAAATGTAGAAACTAACTGGGGAGGAGACCCAACATAAGCCTGACATGCCCCCACACATGCAAACATGTACACCCCAAAAAGTAAAATAAGACTCAGGAAGTAAATAAATATCACAAGTCTTAGAAAGTACAAGAACATAACAAGCTCATGAACCTCTACTCAAGATTATATGGGCAAAAAGCATTCTGCAGGAATTGGGTTTCAGAGCAGCCAAGGTGCCTGTAAATCATGAGTGGCACTCCATGACTGCAGGAGTGGAGAATCATTGCCTTGCTGGGGTGAACTTTTCAGGGATGAAGCAGCTCTGATTGGTCAATGTTACTCTAATAAACTCACTCATGGAAAAGTAGACTAGAAAGATGTTTCTTTGGTATGTATCTGGGTGACTAGATGGGGTGAATAAGTGTTCATCTGTGTCTCCCCATTAAATATCATACAATACAATTGAAGCCTTGAACAGGGGCCAAAAGAACAATAGATGAGTTAAGGAGGACTAGTTGACTTGTCCTTACAATGGATGCTTAGATATGAAGGAAGGGAGGCTGTCCATGTGATTTGTCCCCTCAATCTCATACCTAGACATACCTGAATAGAAACTAGACACAAAGGGGTAGATCATGGTGGGTTGTTAGGACAGAGAATCCTATCCATTGTGTGTAGTGGGGAGTAAACACAGCCCAACTGGTAATGCCCTCAGATTGTGGATACAGTCTTAAAATGGGGTATTTCCATGTTCATAGCTGCATTGTTTGTAATAGCCAGAACCTGGAAGCAACCTATATGCCCCTCAACTGAAGAATGGATAGATAAAATGTGGTACATTTACACAATGGAGTACTACTCAGTGGGAAAAAAAGCAATGGAATCTTGAAATTCATAGGCAAATGGATGGAACTAGAAGAAACCATCCTGAGTTAGGTAACCCAATCACAAAAAGACAAACATGGTATGTACTCACTCACATATGAATTTTAGACATAGAGCAAAGGATTTCTAGCCTATAATCCTCTTCACCAAAGGAGCTAGAAACCAAGAAGGACTCTAAGAGAAAAATGCATGGACCCTGGAGAATGGGAAGGGGCAGCATCTCTTGAGCAAATTAGGAGCATGAGGGTAAGGGAGAGGGAGCTGGCAGAATGTGAGGGGGAGAAGAGGAGGGGAGAGGAGGAAATGGAGGAGCAGAAAGGTTGAGTCAGGGGAAGAATAGAGGAGAGCAGGATGAGAGATACCATAATAG